TCCTTCAAGGGGAATCTCTGTAAGCAACAAATGACATCACGAGGGGCTTCTTCCATCGCTGCCTGCGGTTTAAGCGCTCGGTGTGCACGTACAAATTTAATAGGGGAGTCCAGGGGTTGTTCCAATAAGTCGTTGAAGAGCCTTAGGAGGGACGCTGGGACCACATCTGGTAGCACTGACTCTGGGAGGCCGCAGACACGGATATTTGACCTGCGGCCTCTATTGTCCAGGTCTTCAAGCTGCCTCCGCATGGTGATGAGGGAATGGGATGTGGCGACTTGATGGGTGCTTATTTCCCTGTCTCTGTCGGCACCCGCCCATTCCACTACATGTAGGCGGCGGCCTATATCCTGAATGTCCCTACGATGCTCAGTTACGGCGGAGTGCAGAGTGTCTTTAATGTCTGCCGTCATGGATGCCAGGTCAGACCGGGTGGGTAGGTGCTTGATGCACTCGTGCAGGGAGGACTCTCCGGAATTCAGTGTCGCGGCCTGGCGTGTGTGAGGGGCCGCCTCCGCCATGCTGTGGGCAGGCGTCTGCGGACTCGTGGCAGTGGAATCTGAATAAGTCCGGTACCTGTTTGGCCGGCGGGTCTCCTTCTGCCCAGGAGTCTTCCCAGGAGGGTATTGCGGGCCAATCTTCCCCATGTCTTCGGGAGGAGGGCTGCAGAAGGCGATGCTGGGTGCAGGAGCTCCTGAGTTAAGCGGCCATCTCCGTTGCTGCTGAATCTGAACAATAGTTTGAACCACCAAGATGTGGTGGAAGAAGAAGAAGCTGGTTAAGAGAGGTAAACCCGTACAGTATGAACTACATCCAGGCAATCAGGGGAAATTGACTTCTGATGGACTGGAGCTGGATGGAAGAAGAATGTCCAGGTTGATGTGAAAGGCTGGAAACATCTTATAAAAGGGGACAGCTATGTAAAACAAAACAAAAAAACCCTGTACAAAAGTGTACAGTACTTAAACAAATAATCTAATGGCCATTCGAATAAGATTGCAAGAGCTGAAATGTTTGGGCCAAATGCTTATCCAGGCCCGATTGCAGAATGGTTGGAATTCTTCCCACAGTAGTTCCTTTCCTTGCACCAGGCAAAGTTAGGGATCAGTCACACTAGATGCAGTGCGTTCCGGCCCGATTTTGGCTGGAACGCACTCCCTCACATTGCGGCCGGCTCACTTTTTAGTGGGGAATGAGGGGGTGTGGCGGGCCATTTAAGTGAATGACGCCGTAGCCACGCCCTCCGGCTGCAATGCGATCGCCCGCACGTGATCGCAAGGCACATTGTGCCTGCGGTCCGATCCTGTGCGGGGCGATCAAAATGCTACAAGCACTATTTTGATCGCATCGCACAGGGCCAGGGCCGATCGCATTGCAGCCGGAGGGCGTGGCTACGGCGTCATTCACTTAAATGGCCCGCCACACCCCCTCATTCCCCACTAAAAAGTGAGCCGGCCGCAATGTGAGGGAGTGCGTTCCAGCCAAAATCGGGCCGGAACGCACTGCATCTAGTGTGACTGAGCCCTAAGCCTTCAATGTGCAGTAGTAGACCTTGCAAGAGATATACTTCCCTGCTTCCAAATGCATGTGCTTTACTGACTCAGAGATCCCCATCTCTAAAGAACTGGGCTTTAAGAGCTTTGCTGTTAAAGACAGCGACTATTGAGCAGGGTGGTAAACCTGTCCTTAAGATATGAGATCTGACCTGTCTGGTAGAGGTCACAGGGTGTATGGCAGATGTTTGATCAGGTCACATCTGTCTGGTCCAGTCCAGCTAGGAGGATAACCAGAATGCCTTCTAGCTCAAGTCTATAAAGTAGGAGAAAAGGCATAGATCATGGAGTCACTCAAGCATTCACTACTTCTGCCAAAGGATCCCTGCATCTGGAGACAAACCAGCCCAGGTGTTTTTTTTTTTTACTTGGATGCCAGAAAATTCGCATTCGATGTTCTCCACATGCAAGGACAATTCCAAGGGGCCCAGTCACTGCTGTCTGTAGTAGTCTGCCTACCAATTGTCCACACTTGGTATATTAACAGCAGTCAAGGCTAAAGGAGTCCTGCCCAGACTAGAATTCATTTTATCTCTTATACCACAGCCAGACTTCTGGTTCCTCTCCAATGGTTGATGTATGCCATTACAATGGTGTTTGACTTGATCCCGATCAAATGATCCTGAACACAATTTGTCCAGTGTTGTAGGGACAGTAAAAGCGCATGGCACTCGAGAATGTTGACTGGAAGATGGGATTTCTCTGATGCCCAAAACTGAAGTCTGCTGGGAGTGAGTTTTTTGGTTTGCCAGTGTCAAAATCTTCCTGTTGCAGACAGTATAACCCAATTGCATCAGACTGAGTCCAGTGTCCCTTACCCAACTGTCATCATTGAATGGCTGGACAGGACACCAGGGAGGCTTTTATATTGCATTTCTTTTCCTGTGCTAGCGTATGCCCTCTAGCACATGCACCAGCACAGTACCTGTGTCACTGGACAGTGCAGAACAAGTGTCAGCCATTGTGTGTGTTTCTACTGTGCTGACACTTCAAAGACCTAAAAAGAAAAAACAAACTGTATTGGGGGTCAGATGTGTAATTTAGGTCCCTTGAAAACTCAGAAGGTGCTCATTGGATTTTTGGGCCGCTCTATGCAGCTGACTGAAAGTTTACAGGTGGTATGCTCATACTTGGGAGTATCAGAATATGTTTTTGGAGCATAATTCTAAGTACGACCAAGCGGTGCGTAAAAAAAGAAAAAATATATCTTAGTATATTTAAACCTTTGTGGTGGTGTAGGGGTGAATAACTTAATTTACTTATTTTTTTAAAAATGTTGCAAAAAATTTGGATTCCAAAATACTCACCATGGCTCTTGCCTAATACCTGGGGGTAATGTTTGCACTATCCTGGCATTTTAGGACCTAAAGAAAATGCAATAGGCAGACAGAACATCAGCGCTGATAAATGTCAAATAAACACTTAGTTAAAAAGAAAACTAGTACACAGACTAAATAATATGCACACCCCATAGTTTGTAAACTAAGAAATGTAGCAGAATATATTTTGGCCTACATGTATGAAAAAAGATTTAAAATGTTTAACAAAATAAGGGAAACAGTTTTCCCCCCCAAACATTGACACCAAAACATTGGTTACTAAATATCTCCAAAAGAAAACAGTCAAAAAAATTGTGGTACATTTTTGCATAACCAAGTAATTGTCAAAGTATCGCAGCACTTTTTTTTTTCCTGTTCTTTCACAAATCTAGGGAAGGGTCTAATTTGGCCGATTTCCCCCCACTTTGTAAAGATATTTTCTTGCTTTTTCTATCAAGTCCACAGGGCAGGAAGTGAATGTGTCCCATTTGGAGAGGTTTATAGACAGCAGAAAATAAACAGACCGGGGTTTAATCCTTCTATCCAAAACTGGCTATAAATACACTAAAGAATGTTAAAAAGCACAATCTGTAAAAAAAAAAAGGTTTATTTTAAGCACTTGTCCCACCTCCCCATCCTCCAACCCAAGCACTCTTGCAAAGCTTTGACCTTTTGTCGCCTGACACCTGCAGAAGTGTTGGATACCTGTGTTCCTCACTGAACTCTGTTGCACCTCCCACTGGTCCTTATGTCACTACATGACACAGAAGTGCCGTTTGTTCAGTGATTTGAACTATTGGTGGGTGACACAGGCATCCAACACTTCTGGAGGTGTCAGAAGTAAAGATTTTGGTGACGGCTGCAGCAGAGTGAGGATCATAGAACAGGGTGGCCTCTTGTTTTGCAGGTGGTGCTTTTTTATTTTTCTTAAGAGTTTCAAACTGATCATGCATAGTCCATGTCAATGCAGTTTCTGAATTATATAAAGGACTTTTTTTAATGACTGATGGGGAAAGTTCTGCATTTATCAAATGACGACATCCGATCAGCGAATGGCAAAAAATACTGTACCCAACACGTTACAAAATAGTTTGTATTATGGATTGGTCATCTTTGCATTCATAACAAAACTGGAGCGTTGGATATTTTTCCAGGAACAATACAACTCATTAGCTCCAATTCCGGCTGCTTTGCAAATGAGTCCCCTCCATCTAAATCTGAAGTGACTGCTATATCCAGGCTACAGGGATGTAGTAGACTAGAAGATATTCTTGAATCACTTATTTCAGCAAAACTACAATTTAATCATTTCAGAAAAAATGTGAAAATATATATATTATTTTTACAACAATTTGACAGACTTCTTGTTGCTAAACAGAAAAAAAAGCTCCCGCAAATATATTTTTATAATGTACAATTCAGTTTCAAATTTAAATACTCCTTATACACTGAGTAATCTGCATGTTGAATTTATTCAATACATTAAAATCTGCAATGTAACAAAACTTTGTTTTCGGCATATGAAATTTATAACACCATTTTAAAATGAACAAAAGATGGCTCACTTCATGTCACTATTTCCATATGACAACTAGTGTGCGTAGCACTAGTTCATCTCAACTGACATTAGCTGTTTGCTCTGTTTATTGGACGCGCTTCACAGATTACACATAGTACAAATAAGTGTGCCGGACTAAACAAAAAAACAAAACAAAAAAAACTTGAGGTACGAAAGTGGTTCAGAGATTACAGGTCATGCAGATCATGCTAAACAGCAGGGTGGGGGAGAAAAAAAAAAAAAAAAAAAAAAAAAAGAAAAATATGTGATGAGAGAACACTGAATAAAAATACAGAAAATGTGCATAACAAAAATTAAAAAAAATACACATCTTTGGTTACAAAGTAGGTTGAACAATTTCACAGTTTTTTTTTTTTAACCCACCCTAAAAAATTATAATAATTCACAGAAATTGTCTAAAAAGCATAGGAATCATGGCAATTTTCTGTTCTCTATTGCAAACAAGAGAAATGAACGAAAACATTATCTTCATCAAAATAGCTAATCTATCATTTATTTTGTATCACAACTGTTGCTCTCCTGTACAGGCGCATTATGGATCCGTACTTACACTCTTTACAAAATGTACATTCAAATTGGATCTTTGCTCTACTGTAAAATAAATACCAGAAAAGTAGATTGCTGTTAGTGTTCGATATATATTTATAGATGCCAGGATGCGTATGCTTAGTTATTGCCAAAATGCTTTCCCTACTAAATGCAATCCCTCCCCCTCTACGATTTATGATAGATTTACATTTATTCTCTAGATAAGGAAATAAAATAAAATAGAGTGTCTGTGACATTGTTCATACACATTATGAAAATAGCAGCCCTGTAATAAATAAAACACAAAAAACTTAAACTAATAAAAAGGCAAAACAAATATTACTTATATTTAAAGAACGGTGGCTCTTACTATGAATGCAATGATTAGATTTGCTTACAAAGAACTGACAAAACATGGCTCAGAGTATGATCTAAAGGAAACGCTCCCTGGAGAACCACAATAGCTCCGTAAGACCCCTTGCTGAATATCAGAGATTAACTGCTGTTTGTGGCAGCATTTTATGTTCTAGAAAACCCATTTTAAAAACAGATCTGTTCTGCGTCATCGTTCGCCATTTGCTAGATCAAGATAGCCGCTGTTGCTTGTTAACATATATCGGTTTATAAGGTGCAAACAACTGTCTCAAACACAAACAAGCATTTCAGCATAGTAAATAGGCACCCATAACACATGCAGATGTGCGCAGTAGTTATGTTTAACAATCTCGTATACACTTATAATGTACTTTCCTAAACAAACCATAAAGTGTTGTAAAAAAAACCAAAAAAAAAAAACCTACCGTTACGAAAGAGAAGATTTGTAAAATGTCATGCTCATTGTATGCGTATAACTTGTAGACAGGCTAGCTAGCATAAGACACTGTATCCAGGTGCAGTGAAATGAGCTGCATTGTGTTATCTACATTTATATCCTGTACATGGAATACTGTTAAGTCCATCCTCAGGGCAGATCAGTGATGACTAAAATGAGCACAAAGGGGATAAAAAGCATCTTCCTATCAGCCTTCTAAAAGTACTTCTTTTCTAGTACATTATGAGCAGAGAAGTTGCAATGTTGTACATTAGGGACTATGTTACTTTGCCTGACACCCAAAACGATATCTTGCATGCATTTTCAGATGACTTGACACTATATGGTTAAATTCTACATGCAAGTTTGTTCCTTGTTCTAGAGGGTTTCTATGACATAAAATGCTGCATTTCTCCCTTCTGCTAAAAGAAGGGTTCCACATGTACATAGTTATTGCCAGCATTCATGGATATACTGTCCTTAAAGCAAGGATTCAGCGCGTTTGAGATAATGCGTCTGTGCATCTAATGTATGTAGGTCTATAAAAGCATATACATACACTAGGAGCACATACACATCTTTCCAACTCTGTTAATACCTGATACACAATGCAATAGGTATCGCCTCTCTCACAATGAGGGCTCAGGGAGTACGATTGTCTAATACTGAAAAGGCCAAACACACAAAATGAAGCATGGCTACTTGCTCTTTTTTCGTTTCTCATTGTTAAAGTGGAAAGGTCAGCAGTGGCACACAAGGACAGATTGCTTTCAGTTAGCTGAACAAGGCGAGAAAGCAGTTTGTACAGTTTATGCAGAAGAGACATTCGGTTGTTGTGGAGGGTGTGCGGTCTGCGGAGCTGTAGTCACTGGAGGCTGTTGTTGGCTGAGACCAGCCTGGGCCGGCAGTTGTGACAGCTGATCGCTGTTAGAAAGGGATTTTAACAGTGCATTCTCACGTTCAAGTGTCGAGTTTTTCTCTATTAATTCCTTTATTTGTTCCTTCAGGACTTCCACCTCTTCTCTTACGGCGTACATCAGATGGCTTTTGACCAGGTCCTAGCAAATAAAAATAAAAGAAGTTTACAAAAATGTATACGGAGGGGGTTCTACAAATGGTCTATTTTAAAAGGGACTCCTGCAAATATAGATCAGCCTTATGAATAAAAACATTAACACAGATGCATGCAAGTGTGGTGACCTAAACTTCCATTAGACAGAGCTCACCCAAGCACATGTAAAAAGGGTCCAGTGTGGAAAGTCCAAGGCTGCCATAGAGAAAGCTACCTTTCTGGACATGTATCAAATGTTTGGTGCCAGTGGTGCTGGTCTATAAATCGCAGGTCTTATTCAAACAAAGCTCTACCACCCTATTACTATCAGTCTAAGGCAGGTGCACTGCACGGTCACTGCAATCATATAGGGCTACAGGGGAAGATGGCAGACCTTTGTTGACAGAACAGCAGTTCATACATCCATGGTTGTTGTTAACTGCCATAAAGCAAGCTGCTTGCCCAATGGATACATGAAAACATTTGACTATAAAATGGAGACAAAGAAGCTTCTATTACACCAGCATTTGTACACTTCAGTTTGATAGTTAATAAGGCAGACGCCTCCAGGTGGGAGTATGCAAGCAATATATATGTTCAGTAATAAAAAGAGAAGAAGATGTAATATATACCACCTCCCACCAACAGGTGGAGCTCTATGAAAGCTCAGAGAGCAGCTGTGATACTTGAATAGATTAGATTAAAATGAAGGACATCCTGCTTTTCTAATAGTGATAAGATCTTAACCCTTTCGCTGCCGGAGCAGTTTTGCATGCATTAGAATTAAATAGATCAAAGAGATACCCAACACACCAAGCTTCAAAATTGAGCATCAATAACTATGTTATCCCAAATTGTTCATAGGCTACGCTTTAAAAGCCTGTACGGTTCATCGGTTTAAGAGTTAACTGAATCTTGGAGCTAGAATTACTGCTCTCACTCTGGCATATGTGGAGATACAGAACATGTGTGGTACAATTGTAATTTTTGTACGCAGATGCACCTGACGTGTGTGCATTAGTATGTGCACATTAATGACCCAGATAAAACATGCAGCAATCTTTAAGCTGGTAATCTGGAACCTGTATACTGACCCAGAACAAGTATGAAGTTATACAAGTTCCACATTAAAGGTTTCCTTTAACAAGTTTAGAAGGACAGCCAAAAAAGCATGCAGGTAATGCTTCAAGCTTTGCAAATCAACTGTCCAGGATGAAGCCTGCAATGAATATTTGGGACAGTATTTCATACAGCAAACATCAGTTTGGGGAATGATTTGAAAATTTACAGATTTGCGATTTGTTTAGGCTCTACAAACCCTGCAATCTGTACAGGGGTGTGGAATTCGTATCGCCCGACGCCCGAGACATGTAGTTCCGGGCAAGTCGTTTTTTCACTGTTTTAGCCCTGCTACGGACAAGTAGCAGGGTTGGTTTGACTTTTTTAAACGAGCGGCGATGCGAGCGGGGGGCGTGGACCGGCGCTGCGAGCAGGGGGCGTGGATCGCCGAGAGCGTGGCCCGAAGCGTGCAGCGCCGAGAGCGGGGCCAGGGCATGGAGCAGTGACAGGCTCCGTCACCTCCCTCTGTCTCTGGCGGCCGCTGCTCGTTTCTGTCACAGGAGTTCTAGCACAGAGCTGTGCTAGAACTCCTGTGTTAATATTAACTCTTTCCAGCACAATGCCTAGTGCAAAATTATTTCAGCTCAGGTCCCCATCAACAATCGGTAACTAACCACAGTGCTTGTTAAGCATGTGACCACCAAGTCAAATATGAGACCGTAAGCACATGCAAGTTGGAGGCTTCAATGACAAAATAAGCCTTCAACCCTACAAATGCCTCTCTACATGTCACTGCAGCCTAAAGGTGGCAGTGTGTATCCGCTTAGTTCTGCAATTGGAAGATGCAATGAATGTATAAAAATATATATCTAATATAACACTACCTAGAGAGGGCACATAGCAAGCAGAGGGTCAAACAACTCAAAAATAAAAACTTAAAAATATATTTACATTACGCTCTTTCAGGGCTTAGGGTGTCTCACCAGTCAGCATGACCGGACTATAGCCTTGCAATTTATGTTAACATTTTTTGGGGACAGATAGAGCTTTCTTTTGGAGGTATATAACTACCACTCGGGGGTTATTTTTTTACTATATAATGAAAAAAGTACCGTAAATGAAAAGAAAAAACAACAAAGTTTCCCTACGTTATGTTATAAAACATCTATTCTTACCCATATTTTTGGTAAAACATAAAAGTCGGGGTCACGTCGGGTAAATAGACACCAAACATGTTAAGCCTTAAAATTGCGCGCGCCCCCAAAAAACAACCACACTGAAAATTGCCCATAGACGCTTTTACCGCTCATCAGTTTAGTGTTATAAGTAATTAATGGCTTTAAAATTATTGCTCACACTGCGACGTTTGCGGCGATATGCAACATGTGCGGCACAATCTTCGTTTTCGCACCCGATGCATATCTGCGTGTGTATGTGGGGGGCGAGGGACTTAAAAAACATTTTTTATGCCTCTTTTTTTATGATTCTTTAATTTTTGTATTATTTTTTTTTATACAACGTTTTTGCTATTACATGGGGGGTTAAGAAGCCCCCTATGTGATAGCCAATTTACACGACAGGTCCTCTTTATGGAGACATCAGGGGTCTCCCAGACCCCTATCAACTAGGGACCCCGAGAGAAGCTGATGAAGCAGAGAGCGGCTTTATCAGCTTCTGTAGCTGGAGAGTGACACTGAATGCAGGAAGTGATTTAATATACATCACTTCCTGCATTCGGGGACTGAGAGGAGATCAAAGGGAGTTTGTGTACCGATCTCCCTTTGATCTCCTGTCACAGAGCCGTGATGGTCCCAGCCGCATTGGGCACAGCGGATCTCGGGACCGGCAACGGCAGTGACAGCTGCTCTAGAGACGCCCGATCACTTGAATGTAAAGCTCCCGGCCGGCCGGGAAGCTGCTCGTCGGGCTCCACCGTCCTCTAGTCACAGACGAGCGGATTTTTCAAGCCCTGCCTATAAAACTCCCAATGTAATCATATGTAATAAAAACAACAAAACCCTCTTAAGCCACAAAACTAAAACGGTGCAAAAAAGCATTATATAAAATTAAATAAGTGCATGAAAACAATTTACATCCTCAAATATCCATCTCATTCTATATTGCAACACTCCATCCAAATAAATAGTAAAAAAAAAACTAGAGGTTCAAATACAGGATCCCGGTACTCTTTTGGCGGTAATTTAAGCGTTGATGAAATCTCTTAGTTATAGTATCTTGTAAGAACAAACAAGTCTCCGTATGTCAGCTCAGAGATAAAAACTTGTATCAAAATGTATCAGAAGAAAGATTTTTCCAAATATATCTCAACCTTGTAGAAGATATTCATTCATCCGGTTTATACATTTAATTCTCCTAGAGATGGTTATTAATCATCTCCTTATATAATAAGCATATGTTTGTTAACTCCACATATGCATGGGTTCAACAGATCTTATTGGAAACATTGCAGTATCAAACATTCTGGTAAAAGCATGAAATGCCTCAGAGGAACCAATCCAAGATCTATCATTCAAAAACTGTGTCCATATTTCTCCCAGCCAGTACAGTTCTATTATTATTATACAGGATTTATATAGCGCCAATAGTTTGCACAGCGCTTTACAATATAAGGAAGCCATTACAATCACAATACAATTCAAGACAAGATGGTAAGGAGGGCCCTGCCCATGAGGGCTTACAACCTAAAAGGGAGGGGCAAGTGATACATGAGGAGGTAGCTGTGCGGGGATGATTGTTTGAGAAAGTGATTGTTCAGTGGTTAGGTTGAGGTGGGATAGGCTTCCCTGAAGGCATGGGTCTTAAGGGATTGCCTAAAGGCAGTCAGTGTGGGAGATAGATGACAGGTTGGGGTAGAGAGTTCCATAGGATGGGAAAGACTCTAGTGAAGTCCTGGAGGCGAGCATGGGAGGAGTTGATGAGGGAGCTGAAAAGCAGGAGGTCTTGTGAAGAACGGAGGGGACGGTTAGGGTAATAATTTGAGACCAGGTTTGAGATATAGCCGCAGTGGGTTAAACTATATAAAAAACAAACCGGTTGAATGAACATCTGCTACATGGATGACATAGGTGGAAAAATCTTTCTTCCAATACAAGTTTTCATCTCTGATCTGGCTCTGGACATACGGAGACTCGTTTGTTCTTACAAGATACAGATTACAGAGATTTCAAAGCTTCAATTGCCGCCAATAGAGTACCGGGATCCTGTATTTAAACCTCTAGTTTCTAACTATTTGGATGGGGTGATGCAATATAGAATGGGAATATTTGAGGATGTATATAATTATGCCTTGATGTACTTAATTAAATGTAATGCTTTTTTTCACCTCACTTTTCGTGGCTCTTTGTCTGAGGTATCTCCATTCTCAAGGGGGCTTTGTTTTATTACATACAAATAAAAACTTTCCCTTAATAAAAATAAAAAAAAGTGTGCCTAACCATGTTAAATGGTTAGAACATTTCTGTGTCTCTGTTGGGGAGATGTTAGCTTGTTTCCTGCCTCAGACACATGACAGGAAGTGAGAGGTGAAAAAAAATTGCATCTGATGTTGTTGCATGAGTATAACCAATATAGGATTTCTTCTATAGTTCTGTAGACCCAGACAGTAAAAAAGCCGAAGTACACCTGGAATGCCAATATGTCATTATCTAAAGAAAATAAAAAAATTGTACCACATATACACAAATATAAGAAATTAGCGATTTGTAAGACAGAATACATGGGCCAGAGAATTTAGTCCGAATCATGTAATAGGCCAGTGGGAGGACATTACTAAATGATTTCCAAAGAGTGAACATGTGAGGTAATGTGGGAAAGCCTTGACAAAGTATGACTCTGACATAATCAGGTGATGATTGGAGATTACGTGCTCATCAGCGATATGCAAGCTTTACGTCTAGATAGCTGCATGTATAGTTCATACTTTGACACTTCCCTTTCTCAGGCAGCTCTCGTGGTGAGAAGAACATCCTGTCCTTTATAGGGGACATAGAACAAGCAATTCATTTTAACTGCAGATATCGATGAAGTACTACAATATACCTGAATAAAATGGATATGAACGCAAAAAGCAGAAGTTACCTGACAGATAACCTTTGGAACAACTACGCAGATCTATGGCCCAACAGAAGATTATTATACTTGCATTTAATGAATCCCCTGTGATGGTTTTATCCAGTCAGGTGTGACCAGTCTCATGCACCTTTTTTTGGAGGCATGACTAAAACGTATTCCTCCTAAAATGATCCTGCCTTGAGAGAAGTACAGGTTCTGCCAATGTCGACTTTCTGAAAATACTAGTTGACTGGCTGTTAAGCTGACCCACTTCTCTTTCTTTACCGCCTACTAGTAGATATGCAGGACAGGAAAGTCAGAACTTGTCTGAGCAGATCTGATTCAAATAACTTTATAATTGTAGTTACGTAAATCTCACTTGCTTCAATGTCTACAGTTATGTAATGCAAGTTTTCAGTTAACATAACATGTAATACTGCCATTCACCAAACGCCAGTCAAGTATAGGGTGGCTATGCACTACCTAATAAAAGCAAATAAAATTAAAACGACTTCCATCAAGCTGTGCAGGGATGCTATGGCAAGCACAATCTTGTGTGCACATCCATATCCCATGCATGTTGGGAAAAATGGTTGTCACATTGCAACAGTTTTTAGGATTAAGATGACAGAGGTTTATCATCTGAAATGTGCAGTAAACAAACTAACCCAACAACTTTAGAATCAAAAGAAAGGTGATTAAAGGCAGTCCTGCCAATCTAAATCCATGTCCTATACAAAATATAGCAATTAAGGAGATTACTTTTAAAATCAAAAGAGAAACTTTTCTAGAAAAACATGCTGGCTAATTTTAGAAGTCATGACTCTACTTACCATTGCCTGTTCAATCTTGTTGTCGATGGCTACCACATTTGCACTTGATGAACTATAGAAGGGAAAAACAATTGACAAAAATAAGTTTCAACAAAACATAAATAAACTATAATCATTTAATCTCTTGCTGCTGGCCCCCACCAGACCTTTGAGGGGGTTTCTACGGTGGGATGTGGAGGTGGGCTTCCTAATCATATGATCATTGATTTGCTGTCTCAGTGATCATGTGATCGGGAGCCCATCAATCGCAAATGCGTTAGGGGAACAAGGAGCATTTAATCCTTGCACCCCTAACAGCTGGCACCCTCCTCTTTCCCTTTGATAGTGCAGATTCTGGGCAAGCCCTCAACCTCCCTTACAATGCAGGGATGCTGGTCCTGCAATGGATGTGACATCAGACCGACAGTGCAGAAGAGAAGCGGCTACGGGGGAACTGTAGGAAGGAGGAAACATCCTGGACAAAAACGAGCATTCAACCCTTGCCGTACAGGGGAGTTTTAAATTTTACTATAACGGACATACTATACTGGAAGCTTGCAAACAATAAAAGCGTTTTACACTCAACAGAACTTTAAAATGGACAGGCATTTGAATACATAATCTCACTCAGTCTTCTTAAAGATATGTGGTAAGGACGAGAAAAAAAAAAAAGGAGGAATTTCTGCACTGAATTTGGAAATCACAGGCCAGTTACACGTGCAGAACCTACACAAGGAAGTTGCTACAATACACACAATGTCAATTGGCGGTCAATCTTTGTCAGCTTCAATAAGGACACATTTATATGGCCGCAGAGGGCCATTCACCATCATGGAGAAGTGTATTTCTGTGTCCAGGGGCCACAGGTGTTTGTGTAGAACTGTAGCCAGTACAAATCAATGACATGCTAACAGATGCCACAGCCCTATGCATGTAGTTACGCGAGTACAGGGAAGAAAATGTGGCCCTAGACACAGACAGTTGTGCCCTGGGCCACTCATCCATCTCTGTAAGCATGTAACTTCTTGGATGTGCGGTTACATACGTATAGCTGTGGCATCTGTCAGTCTGTCCTAGATTTGTAGAGGCTACTGCCCACGGCTTCATGTGAACACCTGTGACTCCCGGGTGCAGAAATGGGCCTTCTAAGTGGACAGCCCCCTCTGGATGAGGTTCCTATTAACAGCAGTTAAAAAAAAAAATATGTGTACAGTTGAGAATCTAATGAAAAGAGAATTTCTCAGACTATTTTAAAAGCCACAAATTCTGTCCTTCATGAATGGTCAAATGATCAGATTAGCAAAATGAATTGTTACATTCATTATTCTCCAAATAAGTCATTTTTACCCACGCCGCATTCCACATTAAACAAGTTCGTTTTCATTCAATCGATTTCCAGAACAAGGTCATGAATAACAGTGAGTTCACATCACCCAGCTCTCTTTGAGGACACCCTGACACAGGTGATGAGTCAATGATCTGGTTTAGGGAACAGTGGCCTAGATACAGGTAACTTATCTGTAACATCCCATTTCATGTAACTATATACAGAACAAGTACTGAATGCTGTACTTTTCCTCTTCCCTGTAAGGTGTGGCCATGCATTTCTTAGCGCTAAGTGCTCTAGTGTTTAACCATTTCAGCTCTCGTACCTGTATACCTTTCATGTACCAGAACAATGTTTACGTTTGCATTACAGGCTTGTTTATTTGGGGACAACTTTGTTATTACTTTGGCAATATTTTGTTTTCTATAGAATCTAAAAACCAAAAGACTCAAAAAAAAAAAAAGTAGTTTTAGTAGTTTTACTGGGAAGAAAACGTATACATTTTATTCTATAAATTTGTCCCATTAGAATTGTAAATATTTATTTCTTACACACTTCTTCCTGAAGCCTGGACTTGGGAAGGGCAAATATTTCTGCCAAAGTTTTATAGTGGTCTGTGACCTCATTGACATTTTACCTCATTTCCTTGCCATGCGATAGCAGGATAAGAAATTATGGGAGCAGTCCTCGCCCGGACAGAAAAACCTGGCTAAAGCTGGCCATAAACTAGAAGATTTCTGAACTAACCTTTGTCTGAAAGTTCCTTCTTTACGACCCGATAGTGTCATCAGACACTTGGCGAATGTTGAACAAAATGTTGTTTAATTCTAACATTCCATTCTGCAATGAATGGAGTTTCCCCAAACAAAAATCATTCACTGTTAGAATTTTGTTCATTAATAACGTTTTTCCAACCTGCTCCTTCGAGTTATTCCATCACTACATTTGAAATCATCAGCAATTTGACCCCATCAACTAAAAAAGTCGAAAAAAAAGTTATTTCGAAAATCTAAGCAGTGTATGGCCAGCCTAATGCTAAACCACCCCTAAATTACTGAAAAAGGAAGTGTTTTGTTTCATACACCCAATAGGTACATGCTACCATTGGCAGCAGAAGGGCCACGGTCAACAGGCTTTTGTTCACATCAGAATGGCACCTCTCCCCATACTGGTCTATAGGAATGCAAAAACAGCTTGAAGTAGGTGTAATGCAAGTCAGACGCAGGTCACACGCACCAGCAAGGCATTCTAAATGATCTGAAAAAGTATTTGAAACTGATGCCAAAAGAACCGTGCACTTGCAGCTCAGATTCCTAGACACCTACACCCAAAGAACCAAGGTGTACATGGACAAGAGAGTCAACTATAAGCCAGTGTGCAATGCTGCGGGCTGACATTGAGGCCTTAGCCTGCCCTAGTTTTGCTCAATACCTTATATTGCTATACCACTGAAACCTCTGTGCAAGAGCTTGAACTTCTGACATCTAATAAAAAACGTGTCTGCAAGATGACTAAATGAATGTACTGATCTTTATCTATACCTGCTGACTGTATGTTAAATCAGCCATACAAGAAAACGTTCAAATCTCCACCCCCATTTGCTGCAGATTTCATTTCTGTTCTGTGAAGAGTTATTTTTATATCAGGAAGCATGTGAATAACTTTTTACAATGTTTTACTGTTTTTTTTAACAGTGTTAAAATGAGATTACATAGAATTTGGCAAGGGACAAACGATCTATTATTATCCCTTATGTAACAGTCCAACTACATTAAAAAGAAGTATGATTTACTGACGCACTCAGAACATTACAGCAAACAAGACTGCTAATAAAATGAAAATATGAATACAAACATTTGTGGGATTTTTTGATCTCCAAGCAGAAAGAACATTCAAGGCCATAATAACAAAATCAAATATTGACTCTCACCCGTCACCCCACAAAAAGGATGAACTACCGCTTAAGAAGTGTATGTGAAGGAAGGCATCTTCCCACCACATCAGTGATGTCACTCCTCTCCCCCCCCCCTTTCCCCGATATGTTTACTATATAAAAAAAAAATTGGCACCCAGCACATCCCTTAAAGTGGCCATACACCTTACAACCAATTGTACAACTTTTTTTTGTCCAGACATTTCACGCTTGTTAATTTTCGTTCAACTACCCCATCATGCACAGACCAAGGTAGTTGGCAATTAACGGTCGTCAGCACCACTAACTGGCCGATTTCATCGTTCGAAAGAACAGATTTTTGTTTCAGCATGTGCAGTTTTCATCTTGAGATTTTTGTTGTACAGCGCCACTAACCTGTTGATTTTTGCCCAACTAGATGAGTTTTCTAGCCCGCTTGAAAGATGAAAATCTGCCAGTTGTACAGTAAATGAGGTTGTGCACTTCCCATCAACTGGCAGATTTTCGGCCAAAAATGCAATCGCAGACAAAATTTCTAGACAATCGTAAGGTAAGACCTCTCTATCTCACTACCAAGTCCCACTTGGCAATTACAGAGAAGTCTGACTCAGAAGCAGAAGGAGTTTGCTAGGTTTCACAACAGCTGTAACAGCGAAGTTGGAGGAAAGCTCTGGTGCCTTGAGAGTATTTCAGAGATATAAGAAGCCAGTAGTTGATTCAATCTACTGCCAATAAAGCAGAAGTCAAGGCACCAGAATAAGACAGTTCACAAAAGGAAGCCCCGGTACTGCATCATAAACCTTAAAGAAGAAGTATCGCTATGTTTAAATCCGCTAGGATTCTCCCTAGGGGATCTAGTGCATGCAGCACTTGATCCCATCCTCATTCACAGCTTGGTTGCTGAGCTAGCTTAGTAGACTGCTTGCCTAACTCCCTTTACAGCTAGCTGTCTGACAATGCTGCTAGCAAGGAGACAACTTTTTGATTCAGAGTCACCGACAAGCACACAGAGCTTGGGGGGGCAGTGACAGAGTGTGAACATAGAAGAGGGGCAAAATATCTTCCGCTGTACTCACTGAAGCCCTGTGCCGACTCTGCTCTGCCTTATAAAACAGAGAGAGGAGAAAAAGGAGGAATAACTACCCATTTGTCTGCTTCTGAGGGAGGAGGGACTAAAATAGTAGCTGTCTGCTTGTGTTGTGAATAACAGTGGTCACAGACTACTGTGGTCATTCAGAAAAACACAGGCCGGCATCTAAAACTATGGTTCCGCTCACCAGAATAGCAGGCAGGAGGAGTTTGCGAGACTTAGCTGCTGGCTTGTATTTTTATGAATAACGGCGCTCATCTCCAGTGCGCTGCCATTCACAACACAAGCTGCCAGCTAATGCTCTAGTTTTTTTTTTTTAAGTAACAGTAACTCTTTAACAAGTTCATATTGGTGCAGGGTTCTGCTGCTATGTGGGCTTGAGGATACAGATCAGGGACATCCATACTCTGGATACAGGATTAGGGACAGAGAGGGCGTGGGGGCTAGTGCTGGAACTCTGCCATGGAAACGCCCACAAATTACACTTTCGCCTAGGGTGGAGCAAGTGCTTAACGCACTTGGATTTCTAGGGATAGCACAAAACATTTCAAAACTTCAGTGGCATTTCAAGAAATAAAATTGTTAAAGTGCCATAAAATATTTTTTAAACCACTTCACAAGATTCTACTAGCCTGCCTCTTTCAAAACCCGAGGCTTAGAAGAGATTGCTGCAGGAGCTTAAATTGGTAACGTGATTTAGTCATAGAACTGGGAGATCTGATGTATAAAACACTCACCAGGCAT